CCCGAGCAGGATGAAACCATCGATCTTGCGCAGGTCGAGGGTAGGACAAGCTACTGGCTTTCTGGGCCAGGGTAAAGTGTGAAGTGATTAATAGTTAGTCTACTGTCGAGCTAATAACCTTCCAATATACAACCGTTGCTATTCTTCTTGATATGTATGGCTCTACTAGCCCTTGTTGTTCTTCTTCGGATATGACCACTACAACCTTTGGTAGTGGTGATTTGCCTCGTGCATGAGAGGACCGATATTCTCAACACAACCACTTAGCACATCAGCAGATAGAAGAACACGATGAAGAGGCCTTGACCTGGGGTGTTGGTTTCCATGAAAGTAAACACCCACCACGATGAGCAGCGACAACACCGTCAAGAGCCACCTACGCACTACTTGTCACGTGGTGGTTGTCGTGTGTACGCACAGGATGTCATCGCCAGTCAACGACACGAACTCCAGCACGTAAAAGGCAATGCGGTTGCCTTCAAAGGCTTGGAATATGGCTCCTGCCACGCCCAAGTCTATTGGTAGAGCTTATGCAGCAGAGTCACCTCTCGGTCAGCACCCATGAGAGTGTCCTCTTCGTGTGCTCGGTTGGATCGCAATGCCGTGGCGGCTCTGGTGGGCCAACGCGGTGGCGCAAGACGTCTTGGTAGCACCCATCGCAAATGTGGAAGCCGTCATTTCAGCACTTGCGATAGGTGCCACCTAGACGTCTTGCGCCACCCGCCCGCGCAATCACCAGCAGGGAGGTGTACGGCACCGACACGGACTGGATGGTGGAATGAAGGATGACCACTTTCATTGGGTTAGTAAGCAAGTGGTGATGTTACTGAAGTCTAGACCTGTTCGAATTGAACAAGTCCTAATTATCACATCGCATGATGTGCTCTCATACACATCCTACATAATTATCTCAATGCTCTCCTTTCATCACAGCAGCAGAATATATCGCAAAAGCAAGGTGAAATAGGCAATTTTGAATGCAGCGCAAGGTGAACCACCTTGCGAATTCCATATATAATTCTGAAATTGTATAGTTTCAATTAAATATAACTTCAAGTTTGTATTGATGATTTTTATTTTTCATGTGTCATGTGTCAGTCTCTTTTTGGAATTCGCAAGGCAGGTCACCTTGCGAATTCAAAATTGTCCAATTTGTCCAATCAGATGCCGTGAAATCACGAAAATCGCTTAGGATTCATCACGCCCTAACCATACAAATTCCACGCTTGCGCTACGAAATTAAAATAACGATGATAACAGCACATCAACGCAAGTCCTACTAGTACTAACGTAGTAACCAAGTGGCCATGCTCAAATCGGTAAAGCGTTAATGATTACTACGTAGTACAAGCACTACTTCATCCATCACGCTCGCAAGGGCTGCCGGTAAACTACACTGTATTGCAGGTTTGGAACCTGCAGTCCTGCAGGCTAACCCTGAAAAACGTTCAACAAATCTGAATACCGTTCAGCCAAGACTGAAAACCGTTCAAACTAATAAGGCATATTTTTTGTACTCTGACCACCTCAACTTAACCCTGGGAATTTAGCATTATACTTCGAAGTATGTGGGGTAGGACGAAGTCCCGGGGTTACAGGGTTACGGGGAGAATATTTGCTTGAACGGTATCCAGATATTATTGAACGTTTCCCCATAGTTTCCCAGTCCTGCAACATCAAATAATATATGACAATTATAAAAAGAGATATTCTATTGCAAAACATTACTTGTATATAAACTATATTGAGACAAGAAAATTTCATTCTATTTTGACTGAAGTATGTCGCAAGTCAACTTCTACAACGAAATTCGATTATATTCTACACGTGCTTTCGTTGGGCGATTTAGATTTGGCTCTACTCTGGAATGGAGTGTAGAGTCCCATTGTTTTATTCATTTTGCGATCCCTAATGAAGCAGCGACATCAACAGGCGGCGCTGCTTTGCCTGGAAGATGCCCTCCAGTGAAAGGTGCATCATACAGCTACGGAACTTGTCGAGCTTCAACTTGAGCATCGAGAAATCCGACTCGACCGCAGTCGTGTTGGCGAGCACCGATACCAACCCACCGCTGAAAGCGCAGAGGTTGTCGTAACCTCTTGGTAGCATATCCCACGCGGTTGTTGAATGTCGTCGTGCTGCTATGCATGTCGATGGCGGCGCAAATTTTCCTGTCCTTCTTGTGCAGCTTGAATAGTTTGCGATGCTCCTCTTCGACCATATCGACCCAGTTTACAACAGTCTACAAACTAATGCTGGCAGTGCCTACAAAACAAGCTAGTTTGTATAGTTTGTATAGTTTGTAGATTTCTACAATTTAAGGAGGCCTGGTATAGGTACACTTACATGTAGAGAATTTCACTAGAAATCCGATTTGCTTACTAGAAATCCGATTTGCTTAGAGTGTCCTAATCAAAAGTGTGTGGTGCAATTAGTTTTCATTATTGCGGATTTGGTACAGAATTCCAGATTCCGTCGAATCGAATCTCGCCGACTGAACCTATCAAAAACCTCGCCCATTGGCTAATCCATTCATACTAGAATATGATTGGCTACTCAGAAAACGTGACGCACTGCAACTCACTCCACAACATACATGCGGACACAAACTTGCAGACACTCCCGCGAGGAACACGATGTCCTCACAAAGC